ATTTCTTTTTCTTATGTGCATAAACGTAATATATAGTCCAGAAATATTATATCACATTTAGAATATCAATGTTTCATTGGATTTCAGTTCATGTCATAGGCTAGGATACTGCGCACGTCTGGAACGTCACCGGTATGATCCGTCTGCTTCGATGTCTTTAAATTCGCTTGCCAAACTCTTCCTGCACGATGGATGTGGGTGTTATTTTAGCTACCACGTAATAATATTCGTATGGCACGCTAATTCGAAGGTTTTAATTCCACTCTACACGAGCTCAGGTGACGGCAGACAAAGCCGTTGTCTGCTAACCGAGTTTGTGAACGCAGATGGTTCGTCAGAATTCGTTAGCAGACGGCGCGTCTTCACTTTTTGGTCATACTGCGTTTGCTTGTAAAAAATTAAATAGTGGACGCGGGAGATTGTGAAAGATGCCGAGCGATAACGGTGATTTGGCTTCCTCTTTGTCGAAAAGGTATTGTGGTGCAAATAGATAGTGAAACTGAAAAACAGACAGTGAAACATTGGAAGAAGCAGAACATTAAAAGTGGATATTCAGGCCCACGAGCATTTGAAGGTTATGACACTAAAGAGGCACGCTGCGCGTTTACCGCTTGTAAAATATAAGTCTACCCTATATATAAAAAAAAGTTACGTGTTTTGCTCCTATCAAAAACCCCTAAATACAAGTGTTCGCTTGCCCTTTCTGGTATATTGAGGTCTTATCTAAGTGGCATCTGTACCTAATTTATGCCTCGGAAAAAGCACCGCTCTAAACATGTAGGATTAAAGTTGCCCAGAAACAATGTCATAAATGATAGTGCATAAGAAAGGAGACTCATTTTAGAACAGTGGGTTTACATATGCCAACATTCTCTTTAATTGCAGTTCCGTTGATTCCGCAGCGGATTGTTCGTTTGGCCCAGGAAGTTGCCATCTCAAACACTACGTACGAACCACGTGGGTCAAGCTTTTTTCAGACTTGCCACAAGACCAACAGGATGTTATTTGTCGTCGTGGAAAAAGACTCAAGTCTACTGTAACGGACATATGTGCACACCATTTTTACATGTACTTTTCTAAGTACACAACGCACACCACTTCCAAGCTGTGCGTGGGCCCCTTCGCGGAACACAGAAGATCATGCCGCGGAACTTCTGTTATTTCTAACACTTTGGCGCAAAGGCTGATATCTCTCGGCTTAGTTTCTGGTGACAGGTTATGTCCCAAATGTTATATGAAGTGTGCAAATCTGAAAGAGGTATCTGAGCTCGACAGCGACAGAGCAGCTACAATATCATCCGGGGAGGATGTTGCGGATACGCCTTACAGCCCCACAACAGAGGCCTCAGGAAGCAGAAAGCGTCCCGCAAAGGACTGCGAGAGCTCTAAGCCATCCAAGTGCAGAAATCCGGATTCGAATTCCTGCGTGGATGCCTGTGCCAGTGTCTATCCGAATATGTCACAAACTGAAATTCCTGGAGACGACAAATCATTGCTGCGCGATTATAAGTCTTTCGTGAGTGGCCTTCAAAAAAATTTCAAAACTCGAAGTCCAGACAAGAGAAGCTGTTAATTCTTGCACTTTGCCCGCCATCTTGGACAATATCCCAAACTAGTGGATATTTTGGTTGCGGCAAGAGGATAGTTCGATCTGCCAGACGACTCCGAGACACGAGGGTAATTCTCGAAAAACCCGATCCACAAAAAAATCGCCCACTGTCCTCCGGAGTGAAAACATCAATTGAGGCCTTTTACCAAGATGACAGGATATCATACTGTCTTCCAGGGATGAAAGACGTCCTGAAAGGAAATCAAAAGCGGCTTCTTTTGTTGAATCTAAAGGAAGCTTTCATTCAATGGAAAGGGGAAAATCCAGACCTGCCAGCCTCTTTTTCAACCTTCGCATCCCTGCGTCCCCCCTGGTGTGTGTTAGCAAGCTCAGCTGACACACACTCTGTTTGTGTGTGCGAGTACCATCAAAACTTCAAGCTTATGCTCCATGCACTGGGAATAAAAGAAACATGTGGCGAGCTTATGGCTTTAACCGTTTGTTCACTCGAAGAAGAGAGCTGCATGATGAACACCTGCTCGAGATGCCCAGGACCGGAACTGCTAAAAACTTTTCTCCAAGGCAAGACTTCCGAAGACGACGAAATAAAGTACAAGCGGTGGGTTCACTCGGAGAAGTGCCTACTCATGACAGTTGTATCGAGTACCACAGAAGTAGTGGAAGAACTCCTCGAAAAGCTGGAGAACTTGAAACGCCATCACTATGTGAGCAAAGTTCAGTCAAATTATCTTAGGTTTCTGAAATCGACACTTCCACCAACCGAGGCGATTGTCATCATGGACTTTGCAGAGAACTACAACTTCATCATTCAAGATGCTGCGCAGTCCTTCCATTGGAACAGCACGCAAGCAACACTTCATCCTGTTGCCTACACTCGAAGCATGAAGGAAGGTACTGACTCGTACATTACTCATTCCTTCGTAATTGTGTCCGACTCCCTTCAACATGACAACGCGGCAGTGCATGCATTTCAACACCACTTTCTGCATAAACTAAGAAAACAAAAAGCAGACCTTGCAAAAGTTCATTATTTTACGGATGGCACTGCTTCTCAGTATAAGAACAGGAAAAACTTCCTTAACCTCTGCTTTCACAAGGAAGATTTCGAGTTGGAAGCGACGTGGCACTTTTTTGCCACATCTCATGGAAAAAGCCCTTGTGATGGCTTAGGCGGCACTATAAAAAGGCTCGCTAGCAAAGCTAGCATTCAAAGGCCATTTGAGAGTCAGATCACCACAGCACAAGATCTTTATGAATGGGCGAAGGCTTCAATGAAAACTGTGAACGTCATATGGGTTCCACATAGCGTCGTCACAGCTGAGACAAAGGCTCAGCAACCGCTATGAGCAAGCAAAAGCCATAACAAACATACGTCAATACCATTATGTGGCACCTATAGGACACGGGCACGTGGTTGCTAAAATAACGTCCACATCAGACGTCCAGGAAGAGTTCTCCGTGCGACGCTAAAGACATTGCAACAGAAGAACTTTACCGGTGATGTTCCAGTCGTGTGCAGTGTTCTAGACTATGAGGTGAACTGAAAACCAATAAAACACTGATATTCTAAATGTGATATAGTATTCCTGAACTATATATTACATTTATGTACATAAGAAAAAGAAATGTCGGTGAGCTACAACTGTGCTTTGTTTCGGCTTTGATAAAAAGTATCCCAAACAATATTTCAAGTTGTCGCTATTCCACTTGCAAGTGCACTCGGACATGATGTTTAGGGCAAAACGAATTATGCACTTTCTAGTCACTATAAACAGACATTTCATAATGGCAAGATTCCTAGCGTTAGGTATACAAATATAATTAACGAAATTAAGTTCCCCGTGCAGTGTTTCACTCGACCGTAGCAGACGGCGGCATGCGTTGCCGACGAGGTGGACACCTGGAGGCGATGCCGTTCTGCCTCATATTTAAAAAATAATTTCTCAAAAATATCAAAAAGTACTTTTCTAATTTTTTGATATGTTGAACAGAGGGGGTCGGTTAACCTTTCGGCTATTTTAAAAAATGCGAGCACCGTTGCCCACATGGCTTTTTTTTACCTTCTTAAAGGGAAACTGAAGCGGTTCTCTATTTGAGAAAAAACATTTCAATGGCCTTCATTCTACCTCCAGGATCAGGAATATCAAGATTATTTTTCAATTTGGTGCACGGAGGCTTCAGAAATTAATTTTTAAAGTACCGCCGAAGCCCCTCCTTCCCGGGGCGTGACGTCACGCTAGGAGCTTTCGGAATCTCTGCTCTCGCGCATCTTCAGTGCCTGTCAAAGCTATGCACGCGCACTCTTGCTATTTTCACAAGGGTCAGAAAGAGATGTCATGACTGGTGTCAGTGCGGGGAAATATACCTGGCAAGCTTGCCGTTGCACGCGCTGCCCACACGAGCGACACGCGCTTGGCGGCCCGAATATCCTAGTATGACGTCACGACTGGTCGAATATTTTTTCGCTTTTTCTCGCTTTTAGTTGCAACTTCAGGGAAAACAAAAGTGATATTCAGATTCACGGGATAAAAATACGCCAGAATTCACCTCTAACTCGTTTTTTTCAAGAAGTGTTTAAGCTTCCCTTTAATGGCCGTTTTTGAAGAAAGTGACATGTTCACCATTTAATTAAAAACTGTCCAAATATTTTTTTTACGATTGTAACGCAACCTATTTGAGCATAAGGTTGAGGAAAATAAGTCAAAAAATTTCTTAGTCAAATTTTAATTTCAAGTTGACTAAAAAAAATTAAGAAATCTTAAAAATTTGCTTAGGTTTGGAGTGCCTGTCTAAACCCAAAATGGCGACGTAAGGTGTTTTACTTTCAAGGTATGATAGAATATTTTAGTGATCGAATGGCATGCAAACTTAAAGTTATGTGGTAAAAATAGCTTTTTTTTAGTGATTTTTCGAAATATAAAAGGTTTTCTCCGATTCCCAGCACTTTGGAGCATGACGTCAGCAAAAATAAACGTAATTCAACCCTCAAACTTAGTCATCCTATCTTTCGAACCTGTCTCTATTCATATTATTTTTTTTCAAGCATATCCAAAATATGACGAAAATTGCTGTCTCCTTTGGCATGGAATGACCCATATAGCAGTTGCTCGCAGTAACAAATGTTCACATGAAATAAATTGCTATTTGAGAGTTGCTTCCTGCCACAACTACAAGTCCCCAGAAGAGTTAACGACTGCCACACCTTCCCAAATTATATACATTCTTTGTTGGATTCCCTAATGAACACATCAACGGCATTTTACTGCATACTATAAAGTGCAAGCACTTTCTTCTATGCTTTCTGCCCTTCCCTTTTATGATCTCTCAAACAATACTATTATCACCACCCTTCACTATGCAATCCTGCAGTAAATGATGTAATGTGGGCACTAAATAACACAAAACCACTCATTCGACTGGATGTGCTTACCTCGCAGGATGCCCAGCGTTTGGGCAGCTGGGGTCGATACTTGTCCACGCAGACAATCTTACGCATGTCTTCGAAGCTTGGGTCGCTGGGGGCCACGTTGTGGTATGGGATGCAGTACTCTTCAACCACCCCTGCAAGCAACAGCAGGCATCAGTCAGTCGGCCACTCAAATCCATTCCATTTTTTCCCTCTCTAAACCTCAACGGCAGACTAAAGAGAATTTTGGCTTTTTCATTGTTGATTCTGGATTCTGTCAAACAAGCTCTGCATGCCTCTATAATTTTTTCTCTAAAAAAAGCAATGCAAAAAAAAAAAAAAAAATTTAAAGGTCTATATGGGGAATGTTTACTGCAAATGTTTCTACCAAACATAAAAAAATATTTTTTTTAGCAATATTTACATTGTCAGACACTATTTAGGCTTTAGGCTCCGCCCCACTCGGCGCTTAGATAACAAAGTACCTTTTTATGGCTCTCATCGGAACGAGGGATGATATACATGTGAAATGTTGAATGTAAAATTGTATCTACGTGCTGTACTAGTATTTTAATCCACAACTTTTTTATGTTTGAGAAACAAGTAATCTAGACAGAGTCATTATTGTTTTCAAAAGTATCCCAAGATTGCCCTTTCCGCATTGGTATGAAACGATAACGAACATCAGTGCCGGCGCCTGCGGAGCTCTCAACAAGTACATTAATTTTTATGAGTGCGACTCGTTCTGTGTTTACTGAGGTGTTTAGAAAATGATCTCCTCAACAGGCGTAGATCGCAACAAACAGCTGTCGTAGCTACACTCCTTCGTAAGCGCTGTGCGCGTGCTTGGGTTCGTAGCAGGACTGGCCTCAGCCTAGCATCCCACGTCAACTATGTTGCTTGATTTGGCTCGATTTGTTTGTTTGCGTGTGTTGATGCTGAATAAGGATGTTCCCGTAAAAGCGGCCCCATGAATCGAGCGACCGTCGTGATTGCAATTACGGTTTCTATATCGAGAAGATATCTACATGGGAAAGAATTTGAGAGCCATTTGGCTGGAGGCAATCAGGCGTTCCGCTCGCGTCAAGTTTGTCCAGGTTTGTTCCCGCCATCATATTGCTTTGAAAGGCAAGTAGCTCTCAAGTTTTGCGGTGCACCTGGCCTGCCAAAGCAAATACTTTCAGGTTGCTTTTTAATTGTGCATCCTGACGCTCACCCATCTTGCTCGAGAACAGAAAAGCTGAAAGGACTGGATATTAATTTTGATGCTTTTCTTTAGTCCCCTCAGTCGCTTTTTACCGCACATAGACAGATGCTAACAGGTGACTGTAGTGGACCGTGGCTCGTGCATGATGGAACGCTAGAATGCCGCTTTTATGGTCACGTCTTGAGAGCGCTGGGGAAGTTTTCGGACGGCGACAGAACAGCAGACAAACGCAGGCGGAAATGGACGCCAACACACAGCTTTCATATCCGCATCTGGGAATTGCAGATGACGATGAACGGCGGTGGAATGGCAGATGATGCTGGATACTGCCACAAGTCTGCTCACATGACAAGCAGGCGGTGTTAGGCGCCAGACTAGACGCACCGGATGTCACGAAAGGGAGACGCTAGGCTTGCAAGTATGTTCGGCCGAGCAATCAAGCCAATCAAGTAGTAATGGGCGGGACCTCTGATCTGTGGGTGGGGCTTAGAATGGGCCGTGACCCCCCCCCCCCCCCCCCCCCACCTAAATTGCATCCAACAACGTAAATAAGTATATTATGTGTTAAATCTAAGTCCTATAAAAACACAAAACAAAAGCTTTTTAGATTTTTTTTTTTAATCTAAAAGCACGAAGCATTAGGAATCCCCGAAGTACCCTACAGCATTCCTCGAGCTCCAAGATTTCCTTAGCCATCCCTGACCCTAAATGAAGTGTTCTTCCCTTAAGGTCAGGGACACATAACTATGTGGCACACCCTTTCCTCGTATGTGCATCATTGTTTCTAAAATCTGCACGCTTATGTACTGCTTTATTGCACCAAGGAAAAGATCAGAAGAGGTTCCTCAGCTATCAGCCAAGAATGGTATACAATCCTCGAGACAGAAAGGTTTGAGAACCAATGGGTGCAGCCTACTGCAATATCTTGAGATGCCCCAGCCCCCAAAAGTAACTCACCCCCTATTTTTGGATTAATTTGCTATTTTTGCTTCAAACACTGAAAGATAGCTCTTCTAGGAATCGTAGTGCACAGAGCAATGATTACCTAGGCATAAATGTGTCTTGTTACCTATGGTGGGATATAAGCAAACATTGCTGACTGGGAAGTACAGTAACCTTTGCATCAGGGCGCCTCGCCACGGTAACGTGTTTGGCAGAGACACATACTAATGTAAAAATAGCATTTTTTCAACTTTTCTTGGTTGCAAATCGAAATTTTGCCCACTCCTTATTTTCACGAAAATTTTCTCTCGATTTTAGATGGGCTATCTCAGATTATTATGGTACTGTTTTTCTATTTCGAAACTGTCGAGAGATGAGGAAATCAATACCAGCTTCAACGCCTGTTCCAGAAACATAAAGGCAGCAAGATATAAGCCATTTTAAAACGTACTGGGACTGCACAAAAGCTTTTAGAAAATTGTGCACGTCCAGAGATATCCTAAGTACCTTTAAGAAACACAGACTGATCACTTACCATCCACGACGCAGCGCAGTGTGATCTCCCACATCACCAGGGCGAACGAGTACATGTCGGCCATCTTGTAGGAATCGAAATGATTCTTGGGCATGGACTCCTCTAGCACCTCAGGGGCCATGTAGCGCTTGGTGCCGACACGAGGATTGACAGCTATGTCCAGTTCGTTCGCTTCACTGGGAAGAAAAGATGGGAAGCAATGGTCATGACTGCCAGCTTAAGGGGGGACATGGCCTGGGAGGGTCAACTTTGGAACCATTGTCTCAAATCGATTCAAACTTTCAGGGTGAATTGAACCCCATTAGGATTGATGACATCTAAAGTTTCAGTCTGATAGATCAATTCTACAACATACTATGCTTAACAAGCTCCAGAAAAAAGTTACTTTATTAGGAAATGTATTTTAGAAAAATAATAATTGCAATCCATAAAATGTTTGGTTTAATGTGAAGCAGAATATCCATAATGCAAGTTAAGGTGAAAATTAAATGTAGAAAATGCAATTCTAGAGAAAAACAACAGCACCCAAAAAGAGCAAAGGATTTTCACAAATTTCTGCATTTTAAAATATTCAGTTTTTGTCATGAAGAATTTAGCTTTCTCAGATTATGAGTACCTTAACTTGTTCCTCAGAAAATTTCAGTCCAGGACACCACTGAATGAAATCTTTACACTTTCGAGATGTCAAATGATACATTTCCTCATACCACATTTCCTGCCAAAAAGTGAAACTGAGAAAAATGCAGTTGAAGTTTCAGCTTTAGGTTTCTTACTTTTCTGTGAGACCGAGGTAGGCGAAATTCACCTGGTGCGTTTTTAGCACCTTCCTCTTTGAGACTTCCTTGTTCCCCTGGCAATAGCTACCAGTTTGTGTTGTTTGTAGGCACGCTAGCTTTTGTAGCAGGCATACCTTCACAGATAAACTGGCAAGAACTAAGAGGCAAATTGCACTAAAGAAGAGCAGCAAAGCAGGAATAGGATCTGAAGTGGAAGATACCGTAAAAGAGTGTTACTGAAGATGACAGACTATCACGTAACTGGGAATGACCAATCGTAAACCCTGTTTCAGGTCTCAATCAATAAGATTGCCCATAACAAATTTTCAGATTTTTTTCTGTTTGGATGTATATGGCTTTCCTGGCCATTGATACTTGTAAACTTGGAAAGTTTCTACGGGCAAAATCTAGAGTAAATGGCACTTCCAATGGGGGCAAGATATTCTAGCTATGTTAAATAAGTATGAAGCAGCACTAAATAGAAAACACAAAAAACTTGCTCCCTGCTGACCCGGAGGGCTGCCGACCTGTCGAAAATAATTTATTGCGAGATGAATCCTGCATGTTTATAAATGAAAGTTTCTGAAACCATTCTTCTGAAGTTAATAAACATAAACATATCCTTTTTGAAAAAAAAACGTTTTTTTCAGAAAAATTTGAATTCCGAGGCCATGTCCCCCCTTAAGTATCCTCCTTCCCCAAGAAACATAAAAATACATTAAAAAGACTGTTAAAGACACGGGCTAATTACTGGCTATAAGACTGCAATGGGGCAGAAAATTTTCCCTATTCCCTTTTCAATTTTACTGTTTCATTATTTTACTTCAACAATGACAATGTGGACTAATAATTGCTCAAATCTAATTTCAACGACAGCTTGACTATTCAAGCCTGCAGCTGTTATCTTTTCGGGCAGTAATTTGAGGTACTACACTTCAGTGCAACCCACTTATAACGATAAAGAGAAAACCCAAAATTTCAATCGTTATAACCGATTATCGTTGGATCTAGATTAGAAACTAATCATTTCCAATCTAGAAACTCTAGTAACTGATCGTTATAAGCGGTACATCAATATATGTGGTATCGTTATAAGTGGGTTGCACTGTATAACATGATCTCAGCTGCATACCAGACTTGATTAGCATTAAATGCTGTTGGTCAGGTCCATATTTGAGTAAATACATAGAACAAATAACAACATACTGCCTGGAAACCCTAAGATCAAAGCTATGTATCGGTGTTGTTATGTTGCTCGACCACTGAAGTAGGCGACATGCGTTTGTGTCACTTCACGGTAAGATTGTTGTTGTTGTTTATGTTTTGTTGTTGTTCCTTCAATGATAAAGGATAGTCAGGGAATAGGGCAAAGGACAAACGAAAATCAAGTTCACTAACAACTGACAATTATGTTGCATTGTGGCTACTGTCTGTATACTACAGCACGTGGCTCCGACGTCTGTGGTGGCACAGATGTCGGCACGACACATGCGTAGACACTTCAACTCGTGCAAATTTGGCCTGTGCACAAGTGCAGTGCCCACAAAAGGTGTGGGCGAACGCTGGCTCGTTTGTAAACAGCAGGTATTGAATGTGACAAGATGCTCAGGACTTCCCGGTGAACTCACCTACTGAACCTGACGGCCAAACCAAAGTCTGCTATGGCGCAGGTGCCATCCTTCTGTACCAGGATGTTCTTGCTCTTGATGTCACGGTGGGCAATGGCAGGTTTCCCTACACAAAAATACATCATCGCAAAACTCAATTTGAGACCAACCCAATTAAGGTCCGATTTATAGAAAAAGGGGAGGGGAGGGGGGCGGGGGACAACAAGACTCACTACAAGAGTAAATTTAAATAAAACAAACTTATGCTAAAACGAGCCGTATCTATGAGGGGCCACCATATTGATTAGCCCTGTATTTCTTTTTGGCAGATACCGGTCACTTAGAGATAGGTACATACATATGTCCACCTTCTTCACATATGTCCCCCAAAGTCAAATGCAGTGTGGCAGCATTTCCATGCCAACAAAACCACTTTACGAGAGTGGATCACACCCACGCCTACACTGCTTCCAGCTCTTCAGTGGCTGCGAAATGGCACTCCCACGGATGTTTTTTTGCAGCTCCATAAAGGTGATAAACACTGTAGGACAGACCTGGCCGTACACATGGACGACCAAACGCCCGACAAGAGGTATGACGTGTCGGAAAGACGACCAAACCTGAGCAGGCAGGCAGTGGTCAATCGCAACATTGGGTGCATTCATGCGAGGCCACGATTGGCCAGTTCTTGGCCGTGTTTAGTCATCCTTGTGACGCGTTGTATGACTTGACTGCCATTTGGTCGTGCATATGTGCATTTCCACCCCGGTGGTTATCACCTATATGGGGCCACGAAAATAAACTTGCGAGGACAATGTTCCGCACTCACCGATGAGCTTGAAGTAGCTGTCTAGGCGTGGGTGCGATGCACTTCCAAAAAGCAGTTTTGTCAGAGGACGGAAACGCTGCCATTAGTGGCGCAAGCTCATTGGGATACAAGGGGAGTATGAGAAGGTGAACGTATCTACCAACCTCCGAGTGGCTGCAAACCAATATAGTATATACCTTATACATAGGCCCAATTAACACTCCTCTTCCTGCCAAATTCAGGTAGCAGATCGCATGTGCATTAGAAACGATTTATGTTTTCAGACCTGTTAAGGGGAGGCACAACCTAGAAATACAAAACTTTTCTGAAGAACATGTTTTTGAAAACTATTTTATTATCTCCTATGTATAGCTCATAAGAAATGTTCTTACAATTTTCATATGTGTATTATTTACTTATAGACAAACTACTTCCGATGTGCTGGCAGCTAGGTGCTGGCCAGAGGCGCGAGCAAACCCGTGCGTTCGCCATTTTCAAAGCATGCTCGCTCTCTATGGGTTAGGCCTAGCACAGAGCAGGACCACCCTTTGGGAAAAGCGTTCCTTCTTCTGTCGTTTGCACTCTAGTTGGTCATTCAACATTGTGCAATCAGGCAACAGAACCTCGTAAAAAAGACAAGAAAACACCCTTTCTAGAGCACTTTGAAATGCTGTGCGCACTTCTATTGGGCAGCTCAGCAAAGCAGTAGCTGTAATTCACTCGCAAATTACAAAAAAAAAAAAAAAAACCTTTTTTATTTTGGCGAAGAAAAAAGATTAGCGAAGCTGTAATATAATGGGAATGAAGTAATGGTTGGCCACAAGTCGGCAAGCCAGAGTGGAAAGTCTGAAAAGATTGCCGCCACCTATGAGTGACGGCGGCAACCAGACAACCGGCAAGCCGCTTGTCCGGTTACCACCATCGCCTATAGATGGCGGTAGCTGTCCAAAGTTTGGTGTCATCATTTGTATGCTGACGGGCACGATACTGGGAAAACTAGCCCTTAACAGCTCCACTGTAAAAAAATGCAGCGCATGCAAAAGTTTGTATTTTGGTTCTTAACAGCTTCCCAAGCTCTTGTTCCTTCTACGTTCTTTGACTCTATTGCTACGATGCTGGCGGCTAATGGCATGGAGTCGTTTACGTTGGGTGCTCGGAGGCGCAGGCATGGGAAACAAAGGGGCATCGGAGGTGGTCAACTTCAAAAAACCGCCCTAATGTTGTCTCTGAGTCACTCGGCGATCCCGACTCCCATCACGTCAGTGCTCGGAGGTATGGGCCGCGCAGGACCATGCATTATCTTTGCCGATCACTGACATCCCAAGAGGGTGCACGAGCTGACAGCAATTGAGCGAAAGATGGCGACATTGAAGCAAGAAGTGTGCCTCAGAAAGCAGCCGCTAGGCCTACCTAACAGCTGCGAACTCGATGAGCTCGCGGACTACAACTTGCTCGACGTTTTGTGCGTCAAGAATTTGGCGGGAGCTTTACAGCGCCTGCTATGTGCCAGACCGTGAATGGGAAGGACTTACCTATGCTCCTGGATAATTTCAAGTGATGTGGCAAGCATCATTTCGAGAGGAACATTGCTTGAACTTCCGATTACGTTTTTCTCGGTTTTGCGTTTTGAGCGTATTTTCGTTTTTAAAAATCTATAATTTCTTAGTTACTCTCCAACACACATGAAATAATGTTTTTCTTAGGTGAAATTTAATGGAGAATTCAGTAGGGAACTTGGCTTTGAATAATTTTCTTCAGCACGAAAAGGTAAATTTTAGTGAATGTTATATAAGAGAGAAATGAAGTCAATTTTTAGATGTGCATTTTTATGCTGAAGTTTAATGAATATTTCTACACACATTACCTCGTTCACCACTTGTTCAACATCGCATCCAAGCAAAAGAGATATTACTTCCTTTTTTTGTATTTCGAAATGATAGGTAATTTCAATGGTGCTACTCAGTCTTTCTTTTATGACAAATTAGACTGTAAATTTGCACAAATACATCCTTTTTGGCCAAAAGTTGGCAGATTCTCCCAAGTTCGCGCCACTAACACTGTGCGAATTTTATTGCGATTGGTGATGTGCTTAAAGAGGTAGAGCTCTCTGGCCGTGCCTCCCCTTAAAAAAAGAAGAGGCAAACAAAACTGCTTCTGCTCCATGCTTTCATTGTTATTTGGTCTGCAAATCCTCAAGAGAGAATCTCTTCTACTTTTCTCTGGTCTCAACTTTACTTAGCGTTCATACACAACTCTACCATGTTTACAGTTCTAGAATGCAGCAGTTTTTGAGCCCTAGCACAACCGGTCATTATTTGAGACACCCTCCTCAATTTCTTGATAAAAGCGGGCACAGAGAGACGAGCCAACTCACCCTGCTTGCCAAAGATTTCGGCATGAAGGTGAGAGATTCCTGAAGCTGCCGAGTGAGCAAGGATCAGCGCCTCGTCCGCGTCCAGGGCGTGGGTAGAGAGGTAGTCATGCAGAGACCCTCGCTCGTGGTAGTTGGTGATCAGCAGCATCTGAGTCCAGGAGCCCGTGCCTCGGATGTCGGAGGCCACAAAGCCTGCAATGGCAGATGGGACTACGTATGAAACCCTGGCTTTTCAACTCGCAGAATACCAAGTTTCAAAGATGAACAGTAGTCATGTGCATGCACTTGCACTTGGCAGGTACCTAGTATGTCTTTGCATATCAACAGGCCTCTAAAAGTGCCTGGAATAAAACTCCGGCATGGCTGCGTGCAGCAACTTACTCACCAACATTAGCACATGTGCTGTGTCCCAAAACAATAGTATCTCAGAATTAGGCTTTTTTTTTTATTTGAATGTTTTTATATCATTATGCTGAGTAAATTCTGGGCAAAGAGCTAGAAATTCCATCATTTTTATGCCCAATGCTAGAGCCAAGCAATGCTGGTGTGCATCAGTTGCATTACATATGGCGGCTGCGGTCTTCTCGGATGCACAAAATTGATCAACGAGTGGATTATGAGAGGGCACCTTGGACATCATCAATACCATCCTCGATGGTGGCAGCGGCAGTCATGGTCGAGGGATTGCGTGGCAGCCACGAGGCAGCAAAAATGGCGGAGTCAAAAGCTCATACTTCTCGATGAGTCTCCAAACTTCGAAGCCATGACACGAATCTTTCAGTATGCTATGTTTCACGTCTCCATTGAAAGCAGACCACTGATGCTGATAATGACATTAGTGGTTTGCCCTAAGTCAGTGCATGATGGTTACTAGCGGTGAATTTGATATGCGCCAGTTTGTAGAAAGTTCGGACTCGTCATAGCACAATGTCTTTGGTCCACTTTCTAATACGGCAATTGCAAGCTAAAAAAAGGCTAAAGTGAAAATGGTTTGCAATACTGAAAAATGAGTTATCTTTCAACTTCGTTCTTCCCTTTTTGCAGTCCAGGCATTTTTTAAATTTTGCCTAGGTTGGCAAATGTGCTGTCCAACATTTCTGTTTACTTTCTTTCATGTGCAACCATGCACACAGATACTTGCCTGTTTATGCAGACATAAAACTTGCAAAATGTTGTCTACCAGCAGAATGACGCTTCAATAGATGAACATCCACATAAAGACTTTATGCATCAGTTCCTTAGCTATAATACAAACATCAATAGGCAAAAGTGGGATTATTCCAGCATCTCGCAAAATTGTGATAAGGCATCCACCTTCAAATAAGCACCGACACGCCTAAGACCTCAATTCACAGAAGCCACCAAATGGATTATGTCATCAAGGGCTCCTCCATCTGGGGCACCAGTTTTGTGATCTCTTCAATTCTCTTTCCCGGCGGCTGAAGTTTGCAAATAGGACTTTCTGGTCATGTGACCGATTCAGAGGGCAAGTAGTACCTGGTGTTTCAGTCGTTTCCACACAGAATACGCAAGTCTTGCCTCTCATTTTAGAGTGCAGCTCTTAGGCGCCAGTTTCCAACTTCAGCGGCATCGCCATCGGCGTAACTGCCCGCGTTGCATTAAGGAAATAATGTAACCACGCATTGCAACATGGGAAAATTTCCCCACTATATTTAGCGGAAAAAATAAGCCGCTAAATTTAGCGGATAAATTTCTCCGCTAAATTTAGTAGAAAAATTTCCCCACTAAATTTAGCAGAAAATATTCCCTACTAAATTTAGTGGAAACATTTCCTGCTAAATTTAGTGGAAAAATTTCCCAATTAATTGGAGGGGAGCAGGAGAGGGGGGAGGGGGAGGAGGGGCATACCTTCCCCTCCTTTTCCTCCTCAAGAGCTGCGCTCTAATTCGGCATTACAGAGAATTGTAAGCGTCTTTTTTTTTTTTTCTTTCTTTTTTGCTTATAATGACCTTCCCCAAAAGTGCCACTCCTAAAGTATGCAAATGCAGTTAATTTTATGTACATATTTCCAAGCCTCTTTATTCTTTTTCTACATGCGGAACTGAATTTTAATAACCAAGCGAGGACGAAATTATGGCAGCCATTAGCATGTCTTGGCGTCAACCTTTTTTTATGCTGCATAGTTCGAGGATGGTGCAGCTTCCACAGAGCTCTAACGCTGTCAAAGCTGCCTGAGCAAGCGTGCCACTTCATCTGGCGTCTCGTCTGAGCACGTGCGTATGAGCCGCAAGGCGAAGCCACAGACTGTCAAAGCAGTGGTGCACTGCAGCACTGTGGAAGCTACGCGTCTTGACAAAGTAGCATAAAACAGCCAATGCGGAGTTCCCTTTTATACATACATTGTCCCTACGAAGCCGGTTATGTGACCAGAAAATGCCCCTTGCAGCTATTTTAGCTACTGGAAGAGATACCCACATTCACCAGCAAACCACCTCTAGAAGGTCACGCGAGAAAGAGACATAAAAACCCAATATTACTTTCCCTTCAAAGATTTCAAGTATTGTTTTCCATTCACCACCAGACAGCTCTTCGGGTAATTCGCGGTCCCAGCTCCATTAAGCTCGACACAAAGTACACTGTGCAACACCAATAGTGCAAACATGAGATTGGCGCTTTCTTGCGTTTTACTCGGAAGGTGTACTGGAGGGAAAGAAACTTTTGCCGCCTGAGTTTGTGCCCTAAATTATCGCTTTCTTCTATGTGAGTAGTTTTATTTTTGACAGACCATCAATTCTAAAAAAACAAAAAGCAAACAATGGCTATTGTTTGTCTGCACTAACGATGTTGCACGGTGTACATCGACTCGTCCTATGTTGACATCCCAATGACTCTTCTTTTTTTCCACATCTGTGGGTGGAAGGAAGGGTCCTCACCCAGGATGTTGTCGTGGCGAAGCAGCACCGTCTGGTAGATGTCGGTCTCCCTCAGCCAGCTGGCCTCGTCCGTGGTGAAGAACACCTTGACCGCCACATACTCTCCTCGCCAGCGGGCCTTCCACACCTCGCCGTAGCGTCCCTTGCCTATGCTCTGCACCATCTCAATCTGCTTAGCAATGGTCCGTTGCACCTGTTCAGGCAGGAAGCATTCGCAGCTCAGTCGATGTGCTACTCCACGAGAGGGCAGCGTTCCGAACGTCTCATTATGGAGCTCCTACAAATAATTAAGAGCTAAGCTGCCAAACATCGACCTCTAACAACAGTATAACTCTGTTACAACTGATCTGGCTACAGCAGATATTCAGTTATAACATAAAGATTTGTGAAGTTTGGTTGGACTTTCTATCTGTGGCACTGAGCCAATTTCTGTTTTCACAGGTTCTGTTATAACACACATTTGGATATAATGGACTATTTTATGGAGTTTGTAAGTAGTTCACCATCCATTATAGCAAACTCTTTGACAGCACTCATTTTTTCGGACATTGAGTGGCTTTGGTTCGGTAGCATTGGCATCCATTTTCCAAACTGCCTTCATCGTGCTTGACGCCTTGCGAGCCTCATATGGCCTAAAGCGCGCAGCGATGACGATCGTCGGTACAGCTCCACAAAAAGTCACTACCTTTCAAAGTTTAGAAGTTTCAACAAAACCAGTTCTTTTCTAATGTCCATTCAAATTCCGTATCACTGGTTAGAACAAACTTCAGCCATATTCCACCTCAAAGTCTGTTATAAGAGTATCTTCACTATCAAGGTCTGTTATAACAAGTTTATACTTTATAGTTAATTAACTAGGGAAGCTGGGAACTTTAAGGGAGTGGCAAGTGGAGAGCATGAGGCCAAGCTGGCGGACGAACATCAAGAACTTGGCAATAGAGTAAAATTGGGGGAGATGGAGGCATCTCATCCCTGGCAGGATGAGAACGACAGAGTGTCTCCTGGGGGACCGCAGCACGCACTCATTGCCTTTCGTTGTGCTTCAGCTGTGCGTGCATGCTCAAAGCTAACGAAACACCGGAGACCTTCCTAGGAAGCACACGCTGGAGGACTGAAGGATCTCGCTGCCTCTCATCCTCTCAGTGACGAGAGTGGACTAAAACGAATAATTGTGCAAAAGTCCCAACAAAACAGAGATGGTCCAACCTCGTAGGAAGAACGTAAAAAGCTAGGAATTGGCTAAGAAAAGAGACATTCATCTTCGGAGATGTTTGACGGAAGAAGGGCATAAAGGTAAACTGACATGGTACGTTTGGCCATTTTAGCCTGGCAAGTGTATGATTATTTGGACAAATATAAAATTCTGTTCTTCACAACTTTAACCATGCACCGATAATAAACCACCATGTAGTCATCATGCTGGCTAAAAGGTGAGAGTAGCGTCGGAGTTGTTTCACCATAAAGATTTCTCTGAGCGCAATCATCCGCATCTCACTGTTAGAAGAAATTATCGCTGCACTTAACAAGAGCCAGCAAGAACGTCCGTACCAGTTGGGGCAAACCAGAGCCACTGCCAGAGGTGATGGAGTGGTCAATGAGGTCTTTGATGCAGGGCCCACCCTCTCCCCCTGGCAAAAACGGTTCGTGGCATCCGGAGGCAAAGAAGCTTCGGCTCAGCAGAGACCTCTTGTGCCTGCATGTTGGAGAGAAGTTAGACTTAAAAAAACAATAATCATGAGCAAATCAACGAGCAAACCCCATCGTAAAAAAACAATGGTGCATAATTTTCGATGCTATGCCTAAAATGTAAAGAAAATTAGAATGATTAAAAAGGTTTGAGAGTTAGCTTTTAAGTTCATTGTGCACTTTCAAGTGCAATGTAGCATCGTGAAAGGCACAATTACTGATATCGGAGAGATGGTTATGTACACATATGCTCCTGCTTTCTGGCCGCAACATCGTAGAAGCACCACAACGGCCTTCACTTTGGTCTGCTAAACCCTCCCTGCATATTTTCTAAAACAACATGCTTGTATCCCAAATTTGATTAGTGCTTCACCTTACTTTTAATTACCTGTTCAGTACGGCCCAGCAAATGACTGCAGAGGGTTAAAGACTTTAAAGATTATCACCACTGTAAAATGTCCAGCACCCTACAGAAGCATGGAACACAGTCTAATGGCTTTAAAAAAAGGCACCACTATATGTATATGCCTGTGCAGCAGTAGTGCCTCAGACAGGTATGACTTTGTACTTTTAGCTTTTCTAAAGGGGCATACAAAGCTTCTAGAATTTTCTCGACTGTGACCTGCACATCATATAAACAAGGACTGTGCATGTTCAATCCAGCAGAGCACGAAGCTATTGATAAAAATATGGTGAAAAAACCTTTCTGAGTGGCAACACTTAGCCTAATGTTTCACATGCCAAGAAACAATGTAAAATGACATCAAAAAAATATTTTACTACGAAACTTCATTATTTCCTGGGCTGCTTTGCCAAAATTGCAATAAATGACCTTCGTCAAGCTCTCCCCACAAAAAGATGCCGGGGCCTCACTCAAAAATACTGCGGGTTACAGTAGGGAAGACACAGTACACCGTAGGCTTACCTTTAACGATGGAGAGGTAGGCAAAAAGCAATGCAACAACAACTCAGGAATGCAGCAAATAAAGTTAACCCCAAATGGGGTGGCCTCTGTTCAACGACTCTCTTACTTCTCAAAGATGGGAATTGTGCGCCTGGTGCATAAAATGGCACGCTGCAGGGAGTCTGGACTTGCCTCATATACGTCAGGAAACCCAAGAGCAGCAGAACAAGTAGGCAGCCTGTCACAGAGATGGCAAGAACGATGTGGTGGATGCTCCTGTCGTAGCGGTAGAGTTCGGTGCCGTAATCTGACAAAAGAAACATGAGCCATTGTGGAAATGCGGCACAAAATATGGCTGCTACAGCCACAGACGAGCTCAAGCTACTTCTTAATTAGCTTACGAGCTCATTCAAAAATATAATAAAGTAACTACTATGTTGTGCCTGGAAACATTTGATTTGCACCTTGTCACATGCCACACATGGTCACATGTTGCACTTCATTACTGCCTCTAAAAAGGCACCGAACAGCTCTGTAACTTTTTAATATCACGGCAGCATTGATCGGCAGGCCGATCGGTGCCGTATCATGGCTGGCAAAGTCAACGAAAGTGAGCGCAGCTCACTTTCGTTTACTTTGCCAGCCTGCGAGTCGACGCTCCTATAATATTTTTAAAAATTTGCAAAGCAGTACAAGGAAGTGCAAACAGGGGAGGATTACACATCTAACTTGGGGCCTGTACTTGGCCGATGCCAGAGTAACATTAACAAGAAAGGAGGTACCGACCTTCGTTCCTAGGCTTGTACATTGGCCTGAGGTATTTATTGCAGAGGTCCCCGTGGTTGCAGCACTCAATTGACTTGGGAATGTTGTGGGGGACAAGGTGTGCCTTACACTAAGGGAAAAAACAAAGAAACATTGTAATTTCAAAACAGCAGAAAGCGAGAGAATGCATTAGAAAATGACCTCACCCACAAAATGCTGGCCTCATCAGGCGGTAAACAGCCAAACGACCATTCTGGCTCGACGCTTCGCGTCTCTGGGTTGTAGATCTCTTCGACGGCACTAAAGCACTGGCTGTCTGGCGGCGCTACGCAGGTCCCATTCTCCGCAAAATCGGGGCAGAGTCCGGCACAGTAACACTCCAAGGTATGGGCTGGAATGGCAAACAGGCAACGTCAATACCAAACTTCCATCAGAATTTTGCTACTAGCTAGAAGATCCGAGTGAGGGTGCAAGAGCAACCAGCATGTTTTATGACTGTTACAGTCCCAGACGGGATGAAAAGAGCAGGGAGGCCTTTTAGCTGCCCCCCTTCTATATCCCGCGACAACTTTTCTTGGCAATGCAGTGGCAGGTACAGGCCCGCGTCCCCTCTCCCATTTTGAGTGTGCGCGGGCTCTCCTCCTCACCCCGGAAATGGGGGAGGAGGAGAGCCTGCGCACACTCAAAATGGGAGAGGGGACGCGGGCCTGTACCTTCCACTGCATTGCCAAGAAAAGTTGTCGCGGAGTATAGTGCGAGTTTCCTGGGTTCTATAACACTTTCGGAACTCGTGAGCCTCGAGTGTGCACAAGAGTTCTGCACTGATTGATATGAGCCCAACCAGGCCCGGCCCGGCCTCTTGGGTTCGGGCCCGCCCGTGGACCGCTTTCTATTTCTGACGACCAGGCCGGCCCGACACTTCACGGGCCCGCTGAGCTCAATTTTCACCCAGTATGAAGCTGAGCTCAGAAGTTGCCCTGCATGGCGAGCTCGCTTGCAGCTGCTACGCATGTTGACTATAGTATGTGATAGTCAGTGCAGTAAGCATTGTTTTCTTTTCTTTTGTTACAACTATTATGAGACACACCAATTTTCAGGTCTAGGAAGCGCATTATATGGAAAAAGCCAACCCCATCATCTCTTCTTTCGATAAACCTGTTTCGAAAAAGGATGGAAATATAAAAATGGCAGGCAACAGTAAACAAAACGATGCGCAAAAGTTGAAAAGGAATGGAAATGTCGCAACGGGTTTTTACAAAGAACAAAGTTCTAAATTGCCCACTCCCGCCGTGCACGAACGGAAAAAAAGTAAGTGATAAAAAATATTGCAGTCTTATTAGGTGGTTGGCAAGAAATTGGTATGGAAAAGCACCCCACAAAAGAGCTACTTTGACAGAAGCAGATAATCGTCACCCATATTGTGGGTAGACATACTCCTAGGCATACCTCGGCGAACTTCACTCATGAGGACCCTCACTCACCCTTATCTTCACAGGTGAGGTGAGGGTGAGTTAGTTTCTGAACCAGGAAAATTCATGAGTGTGAGTGAGGGCCGTGAGGGCTTTTGAGTGCTACGAGGACCATAAGTGTGTGAGGGCTATGAGTGCATGAATGGCGTGAGGGGTGTGAGGCCATGAGTGCATGAGGACCGTGAGGGCGGTGAGTGCGTGAGTGTGTGAGGGCCGTGAGTGTGCGAGGGGCGTGAGGGCCATGAGTGTGTGAGGGGTATAAGTGCGTGAGGGCTGTGAGGGCAGGGAATGTGTGAGGGGTATGAGTGTGTGAGGGTGGTGAGTGCAAGAGGACCATGAGTGGCGCGAGTGCCGTGAGGGTGTTAAGTGCGTGAGCGCGGTGGAGTGCGCGAGGGCCATGAGGTTTAGTGAGTGTGACTATGAGGATGAGTGAGGGGCTGAAGGTGAGCGTAGCTGTGAGGGTGAGTGAGGTGCTTAGGTGAGTGTGGCTGTGATGGTGAGTGAGGGAGACCTAAAATGCTGACCTCTGCTCCTAGGTATAGATGGCCTATGCCTGTGAGGGTTTGCATTGTGTAGGTGCATATGTGTGCGTGTTTGATGGGGAGAGGCGACTGTACGACGGCAGCACTCCTGGTGACAAAAATGAACGCCGCACCGCTAATGCTTTGGAACAGCAAACAATGCACACACTGCAAGCCGTGAAAACACACACATACACGCTTTTAGCATTTGCATCTCCTCCACTGTGGTCTTTTCCCAAGCCCCCAAACAAACTTCAAAAACATTTGCGCCAAAAAAATAAAGTTGCATCTGGTTTAGCCAGCTTTGGCCCGCTTTGTAGACTTGAATGCAAGACCTGTGCCCGCCCTTTCACGATTGCAACCGTGAAGCCTGAGCTCGGCCCGCGGGCTGACCTGTACGCGTGCAAACCTCTAATATTTGTGTATAGTCAAATCACAAATTGAAGGTAACTGAGCGCATGCTAAAGGTATGGCATCCGAAAGCAACATCCTGCTGTTCTCACCTTGTCAGTAACAATAGCACTTTTGCCAATTGGATGACAAAGGAACCACTAGCAGAATGCATTTTCTGGGATCTGGCTCCTAACAGGAGACAATAAAAAAACAAAAAGGAATAACATGCCCCTATACACCAGCTCAACTCTGTTATGTCACGTTGCAGTGGTGGCGCTTTGGGCACATTTCCGGTCTGGCGTATGGGTGGAAGTCGCCATGTGGGCCGTGCATTGCTGTGCTGTTTTGGAAGAAACCAAACTAAACCTGCTTTCTCGTCAAGCTGCTGCGACTGGGGCAGCAACAAGAGAGCCGGAAAGGTGCCAAATCAGTATTCACGTGTTTTCAGCCTGTCTGATTCGTCCAAGAATGTGGATAGGTGTTGTGACAAGGGAAAACCAGACACCGTCCGACAATGATTGCTTGTGTGGGAAGCACTTTGGGTTAAATTCACGGATACTTGTGTTTGTCAGATCTATTTCTTTGGTTCCAACATGAACACTGTCAAGTTGTCCAGATCACCCGCAGACCATGTGCAGTTCAAACGGCAGTGTTATCATTCAAACTACTATCTGCACGTTCAAACAACAGTGGCCTGCAGACCCCACATTGACACGGTAATCGCAATAAAAAGTGCAGACCTCTAAAGACTTCTAAAATTGAAGGATGTTTGGGTTAAGTGGGCTCGATGTAAACAGTGGATACAAGTGTATCTATCATTGTTACCGGTGGCCATCCCTGACTTGTTATGCCTAATTCACATGCTCCAATCCTGCTTGCGATTTTCACTATCAATGTCGAGCATCGCAACTACAGTCTATGCTTCTTTTGTAGTCTGAGGGACGTCGTGACTGAAAATGATGGGCAGAATCTTGTCACGTATATCAGGCTGTAGCACCCAGTCTGCGATGTCCATGCGGAGTGACTATCTGCACGTCCTATTATTCACGCAAACTTTTGCGGAGTATCGAGCCTTAATAATTTTGCTGAGGCCATTAAAGAAGAAAGGCACAGAATCAACAATTCCAATGCAAAAAGAAAAGTATGGAGACTCACACCGATGCCGACAACATCGCATTCCAATGGTTTGTTTATGGGCAACAGCACACTTCTTATCGACACTGCATCGCACATGTACGCCGCCGATGGCGTGTTGCTAGGGGCGCTCTGGTTGGTGTATACATGGCATTCACTGTCCAAGACTGCTGTGCCCACCACCGCTGTGCAGGTGCTGACAGTGAGCATGTACTATTACAATAAATATGAGTGTAAACACCGCACCGCGTGGCCCGCGCTACTATCAGTGCCTCCTGTCGAATGCTCCGTAAAGCTTAGATGCAAAGGGTGTCGAGGACTCATGCACTCGTTACAATGCCCTTCACTTCCGCGTCGTCTGGATGAACCGACCAAGGCCTCCGCAATTTGTCGCACACACACATGCCATTTTTAGCGTGCGTGACAAAGAAAACATTTGTAATATTGGTTTAAGCTGCAAAGTGGTTCACTGGTTATCGCAGAATAATACCTCGGAGCGACGCTGAACTCGCTGCAGGAAAGTTTGCGAGCGATTTATGTTGTGTCATGTTGCTTTTAAGGTTCCAGGGAGCGAAAGATAGCCTACGCTTGCAGCGCGCTAGCTTCTTACAAGTGCAAATTTGCAGTCCTTCGCTCTCGCAATATGATGCATGTGAAAAGGGGTCAGCGGAGTATCCGGTATTGTTATCAGAATCACAGAAACAATTCTAAAGCTTCCCAATAAAAAAGTTACCGTACAAAAAATATACAAATAAGCTATTTTTGCTAGCACAATTCCTAGCAAAAAATGCGCTTGTTCATCCAACAGTTTCGTGGTTCTGCCGACTGTTCTTCGCTAGCGGACAATCGGAAGAGCAGAGTGGTGCAACGATCCCTATAGACAATGTGCCTTGTCCGCAAAGCGTTTTTATACTTCACGGAGCAATCGACAGGGGGCACAGAAAGTAGCAGGGGCCACGCGGAGCGGTGTTCACACTCATATTGATCGTGACAGCGCAATGCTGTGGTGGCATGCATTTTACAACACCAAGATTGACATTCTTGGCAGGCGATAAATTGGAGCCTGATCCTAATATGTGCTACGTACTAGTGTGCTCAAATGGGGCAGTGAATGATTACCACATCCATTTTTATTTGTATTACTTACCTAGTTAGGAACCAGAAATAAAAAGACGGATGAGGATACAAAAAAGAAAAGGCAGTACAGGGTTCAAAAAAAGGAATGCAACCTCAACGGCAAAATAAATATGGATATTAGAAAGAAAAAAAAAAAAGAAACTGGAACATAAAAATTTTAATCTACTTGCGAAGATAGCTTGTGACTGAGTAGAAGGGAAGTGGTTTCACTGGCATGAGTGAGAACTGTCGAGATACATGCGTAGTATGAAATTCAAAACAAAACGAACTCCCCAACGCGTGTCTTGTCAAAAGACTCGAGCGTTCATGCTTTGGTTATCCGTGGCGATCTGTTTGGAACTGCCGTTATCACAAAACAAACGTCGTTTGTTATAGACAGACGCTTAGGGTCCAAAATACGAGCGCGAAAGCGTCCTGGCGACAGCGACGTCTCAGAAAACATACCAAAGTATGGACCGTCCAGCAGTCGCTCATTTACACAGGCTAATTACTGGTCGCGTTAAACGCGATTTAGGCTGCATACACTTTATCCAAAGATTTAGAAGTCACAGAAGCAAACCTCACCATACTCGTTTCGGATCATAGGGTGACCTGTGGACCGCTAGATTAATGTTGAATAAATATGACGAGAGTCTCGGCAACATATTTTTCTCAGAGTATTTCTGACCGAAAACACCCTGACCGGCCCAACACACGTGAAATGTTTACTACGAGTGGGCAGCAAAATTTGAACTGAAAACTTAATTGAATAGTGCTGAACTATGCAACCGTTACACTCGCTGAAGCTACGACAACTTTAAAATCGACAAGATCGGCAGATCTAACTCCATGCTTTCAAGAAAAATTATGCGAGTAAAGCAGAGAGAATCTTGAGCAAAACACAGCGGCTCGCAGCATATGACACTTGGAGAGAAAGTATAGATCGGTATGCTTACTAAACATGGGGAAACAAGAAACTAAAATGTCGATAGAAACACAAACTTACCACAGTCTGGAAACCCAAGATGAACCAGTATTAATGCAGTCACAATTGTTTTGAATCTTGACTTGAGGCAGCGAAACACATCTAACGCCGCCATTTCCTTTCTTGCGCTTGTGGTGTCACGTGACGACATATAAAAAAAAAAAAGAGCAAAATTAACTTTTGCGCTTTGAGGACCCCTGGCGGAAGGATGCCGCATCTTCTCCAGTTTCGTTTTCTCCGAAGCGTTGCATCGCTGCATCATACCTCATCGTTATGTATCAGATGATTTCATCATCTTTTGTCGTAAGGTATGAACTCTTGTGATCCACAAAGGGTGGGCGAGCTCGTCTTGTTTTGCGCATGGCGAGCACAACTCATTTTCGGCCAAACCATCTCGCGTCCCTCTTGTTGACGCGCCACACCTGTTTTCCATGATAGACCGGTGCACCCGCAGGCCATCCGCCCTCCCTGTCGCCGTCCCGCCTGTCCTTTGTAGACTGCACGGAGGACACAATAGAACCTTTTTGCTCAGCCGCGGCGAGGCAAACAAGTGATACCCCGGCCAATTTGGGATAAATGGGGCTCAGGTGCGACACCCGCGTCGGTGAAAGCAGGGCTTTTGTGTCGGTGACTCCCTGAAGCACGTGGTGCGCTGAGCGAGGTGAACAGCCTCGAGTAACAGTTTACGAGTTCGACTACTGGAAATGATGTTATCACGCTACAGGACGTCGCTTTCGCAGAGGTGCGTTGGAGCGGAACGGATGAGGGTACAACACATCACCAGAAAAAAAAAAAAAAAGAGAAAAATATAGATAGATATTGATATTGATATTATTTATTGCACTTGACAGGTAGAAATGTACAGTCGTGCTGATGTTGGGGGACGGCTGACGCCCATGCACTAGTGTGCACACAACACCGACCTATGCACTCTTACAATATATATACATTTGTACAGAATGGATAAAAAAAAAGAACTAGTGTGCTTACAACACCGATTTGTGTACTCTTACAACATGTATAGGTTGTACAGAATGGTGAAATAAATAAATAAAAGAACTAGGTAATTAAAAGTAAAGGGGGAAAAGTTTTAAACACCGTTAGACGGGTCAAGGAAGAGCATCTGAGCTACTTCTTTCGCCTCTTGGGGATCAGAAGGAATGTGGTCGGTGAGGTTTGGGCCTTGGGGGGAGCTTCCTCCAAAGCGTAGCTGCCCTCAGCAGGCAAAACTCCCCATGCCCTAATATTCGGGACATCACGGGCTGGAGTCTACCTGTTCTTCTGTTCACTCTGGGGGCATCATAAAGTTTCTGTTGGTTTGGTCCCATGATCCTGCAGAACAGCCGGACAGATGCTATTTGCTGTCGCTGGTGCAGGCTCCTCCGGGTAGCAGTCTTTAGGAGGTCACTAGAGGGTACTTCTCTGTAGGGGAGTGGGACTGACGGCGGGGAAACACTGCGGCGATAGTAAGTGTAGGCGGCACGCCGTTGCACGCCTTGTAGTGTGGTTTGGAGATATTTTTACTGGGGCCCGGGTACCACACCGCAGAGCAATACTCTAGGTGGGGCAGCACCAGCGCAGTGTAAAGATGGCGGAGGGTGTTAGGTGTCATCCCTCGTGTGACTCGAGTGGCCCACGGCGCCATAAAAAGGGGGGCGCCGCCGTGCCACCTTCCGCTGGACCACTACTCGCATATTTACTAACAACGTGATGTCAATCTTATATAGTAAATAAAGCAGTATAAAAAAAAACAAAAAAAAACAAAAAAAACGGAGGGGGGGAGGGGGGGGGGGGGGCTTGGCCGGAGTTCGACCAGGGCGCTTGATAGCGTAGTGCTGCCCTGGACTGAAGGAAGTGGTGAATGAATTGCCCTCCGTCTATCTTTTTTCTTTTTCTGTAACCGCTGCTGGCATTAATAATAATAATATTAATAATAATAAGAATAACAATAATAATACTTGTTTGCAGGGGAAACGTTACCCCGGGTGGCCTGCGAGGCTAGGACAGAAAAGCGGAAGCCCGTGCGCTGGTGCACCCGTTAGCCTGCCACCCGGGGAGGGAAATAACAATAAAAGCAGTCCAGGAGGAAGGTTATCCGGAGCGAAAGTTCATCTGCTCTCCTCGCAGGGGCCACGGCGACGCCAGAGCGCCAAGCCCTGACCAGCTCTGACCGGAAGGCCACAGGATAGACTCAGACATGGGCGTACCAACCAGGGGGGCAAGGGGGGCACATGTCCCCCCCCCCCCCCCCCCCCAGTTCTCAGAGGGGGGTGGCAAGGCATGTGTTATGCCCCCCCCCCCCCCCCTGAAACAGCTGCACTGGGCAGGACAAACATTGGCCGGCGGCGCCCAAGGGTTGCCAAGGGCACTGCCCCCCGGCCCTGATGGAGGGGGGGGGGGGGGGGGGGGTCCGGTTTGCCCCCCACTCAAATTCAAGTTGGTTCGCCACTGTACCCAGAGTCACTAGGCAGACTCCTAAAGCTAGCACCTCAAAGCCACTAGTCGAGGTACTCCCACCATCCCTCCAATCAGAGTCCGGCGCCCCGATACCACCGCAACCCCCGCGCGACAAGCAGCCGAACCCGCAGTCCGCACCAGGGTGTCGAACCGGAACCGAACCGAACCGAAAACCGGAACCGAACCGTTATTTTTAGCCGAACCGGAACTGAACCGAACCGAAATGTTCGCCGCCATCTTGGAACTGAACCGGAACCAAACCGAAAAAAAATATAACGGTAACCGGTTCAAAACGGTTCAAGGTTTTGTTTTGTTAGTATCACAAAATGAATATATGGGAATAAAAAATTGGCAGCTGTATTTCTGTCTTTTTGATCAAATCGTCGTATACAGAATTGCAATGTATGATAAATTGTGGGTTTTCGTGGCGCTTTTGTATTGGCACTATGATTAACCATGTGTCACGTTGTCACGTAACGTCATGGTGTCAATACATACTGTCAAGTAATGTCAGGTGACCCCGTGACGTCACGTGACTCACTGCGTCAAATCGATTTAATTTGAGGAAGTCACTATAGATGCATTAACCTTGTTGACAGCGTGACGTAACATGAGATCACGATTTTGCACCGAGAGTTACGTGACACCGTAATGTAAGCGATTTTAATAATCCCGAGTCGAGTGCTCGGCTTCATGACAATCAGCATTACAAAACATTCGGGTAACGGCTCATGCGGAAATTAAATATGATAATAGCCCAATTCTAACAATATCTGAAGCTCAGCCCAAGCTTCTGCTTTCCAAACCCTAGCGCATGACTATGATGAACACTGACGGTACATAATTAGCGTCAGCTCACGTGGCCGCTTGTTCTAATTGCAAGTTGAGGAGGGGATTGACAGCTGGCTCTTCTCTTTATTCTTTTCTGCATCTGCTATTGCGCGGAGGGGAAAACTAATGGATGTTTTCGCAAGCTAGCAGCGTCGGGGGTTACTTCTTTACTGTATTTACTGAAAGTACAAAAAATGTTCGCACCATTGAATTCGATTTTCTCAGCAAGAAGAGATCACAATGACGACCATGCATATGGTGTGATGACGTCACGTGCATACCATATTAAACAGTTCAGCTTTCTGGTGAAATCCGATGTTCGCAACACTAGAAATATATGTCCTAATTGTAAAGTTGTGCAGGATTTATAGCAGTCTCGCGATGATATACGGCAGCCTAGAGAAATGTTAGAGCGCATGACTATTGAAGCATTGTGTTGTAAAGTGAGGGCCCAAAACAAGTGCAGGTGAAACCGAATATAACATTAGCCTCCGGAGGCAATATTTCGCGAAGTTTCAAGCTCATGCAAGCTGATGAAATGTGATTTATATTAGGATTTTAAGAATCTTTGTCGGTCCCTCGCGCTATTTATGTAAAATTACAAATTTCATTACATGCATCTTTATGCATCTCTTTTTGCAGTAAGGCGTTCTTTAAGTGATTATTTAGAAGCATACCATTAATTATCTCTCTCTTTTTGAACATTTCGTGTATTTGCCCTCCGATCTATCATGTGAGCACATAGTCCTTTTTGGCTTAACCTTGCAACCCGATGTTTCTCACTGCCAATCACGAACAAAAAAACACGTTTACGCAGACTCAACACCTCACGTAGTTCCGAGTATCGTCCTTCCGTGTCGGTCTCAAGCGGTTATGTGAGCTTTATAAAGTAAAATTTATTGATGATTATAAAAATATATTTAATTACTAACTGAATATTTGACAACATAAATAAAGGGCCGACCACCTAAAGCAATGCGCCCCCCCCCCCAAAAAAAAACAAACAAACAAAAAACAAACAAACAAACTATCTGAAAGGTGTTTTGCCAATCTTTTCTGACGTTTTTATCCTCGACAGGCACGTCGTAAGTGATTTGGGACAGCCTTACACACATTTCAGAATTTGAGGCTAATTTAAATACCAATGTGTCTCTGACACCTATAACTTCTCAAAATATAGAAGTCTGTAACTGCCTGTTTTATGTGGTGAACATAACTTGTATGTGTCTGCGGGCCGGACAAAAACAAAGTAAACAGGGGTGCAAGGCGGAACTATGACGATTACGCAAGCAAACCGTCAGGGCCATGTCGAGTAGAGCTTGAAATAGTACGTCCTTTTATTTAACAAAAAATAATCTTGGAGGACGCTTAACCTTCGGCTTTAAGTGGAACGCGACAACATTAACGGGCCTCGTTTGCATCGCCTTCTTATTTACCGTGCAAGCGTGCCTCACGTGGCCTATAGTTAGGAGCTTGTCTTACTTACAACCGAAGGGTCCTGGGTTTGAATCCCGCCTAAACTTCTTAATTTGTTTTCTTCTTTAAGGCAAAGGAATTATTTTATGAAGTGAAATCATTTGAGACATACGGCGACCTTTAATTCGCATTACAATCTCATGTTTCTTTAGTCACTTTCGTTCCACGCGTGACGTCACGTTTTACGTGAGCATTGTTGTTCGTTTGAAATCCCTGCGCGAGGGCATGTTTCTGTGACGTCATGACCCTATCGACCAATCAGGATTTTCCAGTCAAGCCACCGACATCGGCTTTTCTGTGACATGAGCTCCTTAACGCTGTCGTGTTAAAATCATCAATTAGCAAGGGTGATGCTCATTTC